TTTTATTTAAAAAATATTTCATAAACTATTTTATGTAATGTTAATAAGTGTATTTTGATAACTTGTTTTGTGTAATTTTATATAATTATAGGATTTCCAAATATTATCTTTTTAGGTTTTAAAAAATAAATTTTGAATGAATAATTATTATTTTAGGAGAACGGCCATACCCATGCGATTATCCTGGATGTACAAAAGCCTTTACACAATCAGGACAGTTAAAAACCCATCAACGATTGCACACAGGAGAGAAACCTTTTTTATGTACAGAACCTGGCTGTGAAATGAGATTTACACATGCTAATAGACATTGTCCTGATCATCCATATGCTACTCTCACACGATCCGATGATTTCGTATTAAAACCAGTATCGGAGAATACTGAATTACCGCATGATGTGACTAGATGGCTGGAACGTTACAAAATGTCCAGGGAAAGAGAAGATAGAACACCTACAGGGAAGAATGAACGTAAGAAAAAAACATGGAAGAGTAGTTCTGAAAATCACAAAAGAGTTAAATCTAGAAAAGGTCTAATGATGGATGCAACAGGGGAGCAAGAAAATCTAGATTGCAAGCAGCCTAATCAAAGATTGTATTGTGGAGAGAGTCAAGATAGTCAAGAAGAAAGTCAAGATGAAGATCCTGCAGTATTACAAACATCTGAGGATGAAGAGATATCAGCAAAGTTAGCAATTACACCTTTAAGAAGACCATTAGATAGACTTCAACCAAAGAAAAGATGGTTACGTGAAGCTTGTTTGGAACAGCAATTAGCTAAACCTTTAAATTGGGATATCAAACCTGTCAATATATCTACAGGTACTTCATTTAAAATTAATGGTAATCAAATGCAATGGAGTTCGTCTGTTGATAATTCATCTGCCTTGTTAGATAATTCATGTTTAAATGCATGTAAAGAAATTGAACTTACAAAATCAAAAGCAGATCTTCCTTGTGCATCTGCACAAATATCTTGGGATGCTGAAAATGAATCTGTAGAACAATCTGCAAAGAAAGAATCAAAATATATGTTTGAGACATCAAATACATTGTCCCAAAACATTTGGAATTCCTCACAGCATCATACGAACGATTTTGTGAAAAACACGAGCCAAATGAAAACCGATGTCAATCAATTTATTTCCAAGTCTTCCAAAAGTCCGAATCACACATATTGGGACAATAACTTAACAAACGAACTGTCTCCATCAAATCAGTCTAAATCAGTTTTGAGTAAAATTCAAGATTTTGCTCAAAAAGATATATCCAAACAAAATACATTTATGAATTCTCATATTAGCGAAAATGTAACGAGACCGACTGTTTTAATGTTAGCTGGAAGTTTTAATAATAACAACAATAACAACAACAACAATAATAATAAAGATACAATTTCAAAAGTATCTCCAATGAAATCCGAAACAGGATTAAAAGTAGTTGTTGTTAAGCAGGAGGATAATCTTATTAAGTTACCAATTCCTGAAGATAGCCAAAAATGGTTGGGTGCTTTGGCTTTGATGGAATTAGCTAAAAATCAAGAAGATACAGAGAGAGGTATGAGTTTTAAACAGAACAAAGATGAATTTTTTGTTAACACCGAGCTGAATTATACCCACTTGTAGACTGTGATTATTGGCTATTATAGTTTCGTATTATTTTTGTATGGCAAAAAAAGACAAAAATAAAAATGCATTTATTGCCATAATACAGTTCGTTTTTGGACATGACAATAAGAAATGTAAATTTGCCTTTTTTCTTACACAATCAAGAAGCATCTTTTACAATTTTCTTTGGATATTTTTCCAATTACATTATGTTACAGTTTATGTTGACCATTTTACTACAATTTTAAGAAGTGAAAGATTGGAGGTTTTTCTCCTTCTGGTTTTTCTTTTTCTTTAAAAAAATGAATTAATGTGTACAAAGAATATTTTATGTTTATAACTCTGTTAAGTTTTAAGTATGTATCCACATGAAACTTGAAAAATTATATTTTGCAAAACAACATCTTTTACATAGATATTTCTCATTGTCAGTCACATGCATTTGTAAAAGTAAACGCATTTTTTTTTTTGTAAATGATTTTTTTACAACTTACACTTTACGTAAACAATGAGAACATACTACTGTAATGTCGAAATATGTAAGACTCCTTTGTTTTGAAATTTTTTGTTATTCTAGCAACAAAGGAACAAAATTATATTGCAAAACATTAAATGTTATATTATTTGTAGTTTAATATTTAATGATATGAAACATTCTGAAAAAATTGTTTGAATTTGTAATATAAATTCTTAAATAAGATGTTCCAGATCTCAATCACCAAACTTTGCCAACATGTTTGGGAGGTTATTTTGAGCAGAAAATGTTATATCGATCATGAGAATCAATATGTTTCCGTTTTTGAAATATGAAAGAAGTAACCTTAAGTATAATAGGCCATAAGTTAGGCAGCAATTAGATATACTGAAACTACTTAACTTTTAATGATTAACTAACATTTGTTACAAATTATTTTTTATTTATACTGATTCACACAAATTGTTTAAAATGGTAAACACGCAAATAAGCGTCCATAGACCACATTACTGCATTTTAGCAAAGTCGTTATTGATGGTACTAGCAACCTCTTTGATTTTTTTTATCAACTCGTTACGAGTATTAGACTTTTCATTAAAATTACACCCTCAGTTTCACACAATCAAAAAAAATCTAGTAGGAAAAGATCAAGGAGGCCATGCAATAGTTCCAAATATTTCTATGATTTTCAACAATTCGTATAAACCAGCTTGATCAATTATTGTAAAAAAATAATTTGAAATAAATGATTAAAAGTTTGAAATAAATTGAAATAAAAAGTTAAGTAGCTTTATACTGATTACTTATCTCGAAAATGAAGACCTATATATTTCATAGTGTACATTTTTTGCTCAAAATGACCTCCCAAACATGGCAAAATTTGGTTGAGATTTGGAACACTTTCATTTTCAACATATATGAAATGTAATATAAAAGAATTTGTAAACAGAAACATTCATTAGTTAAATTGATTTTTCTTGATTATTCTTACATATTCATTTTATAAAACTAAAAATAATTTTATAAAACTAAAAATAGTTCATCTAAAAACTGTTAACTTTTTGACTGTTAAATATTTCATAATAATTATTTAAAATAGTATAATACATTCTACAATTGTAATAGTTTTCAATATTTGACTTTTTATTTTATAAAATTACAGAATATTACATTTCTCTAGATAATAATGAAAAAAATTATTTATTATTATCGGCCATACTATGTAACGATAAAAAAAATTTGTGTGATACTTAGAATATTAAAAAAATTTATAAAGAAAAATTTTGTATCGAAAATATTGAATGAGGTTCGTGAAGTATTTAATTGGAACAAATGTTATTTGTAAAATGTTATAAAGGAAAAATGGATAATTGATAAAAAAATTTTTCATTTGTAATAACATTAAGTAATTTTAACTCCTACTATTTTTTTACTAGATGTGTACATATGTGAGATATTTTAATAAATATTTTTAAAAATTTTACAAAATATATTTAAATGCTTAACAATACTGATACTGATAAAATATAGCAATTTAAAAAAATTTTTATATAATTATTTTTCATAAGTATTATTCTTTTGTTGTGAATTATGTTTATAAAAAATACGTAATACTAGTCTCTACATGATTCAACTTTTTAATATTTAATATACAATATTGGCAGTGTTGTATTACTACATTATCATAATTTTTCTTTTGATTTTCTAGTTGTTATGTTATATGACTCTTTATTTAAAACATTGTGTTCCGTACGTTTTCTTGTTATTTTTAATTTAGTATTTTCACTTTTATATGTTTTTTCCAATTTATCTAAATTATTTTGCTCTAAGTTGTCTGTATTTTCCTCGTTATTTCTGTTTTGATTTTTGTATGATAAAGTGTTTGTTTTTACAAAAGATACAGATTCTTCAGACGTTACGGTTTTTTTATTCATCGGATCGTTGATGACAAAATCTTTAAATAATGCGATCACTTCGTTAATTTTATTATAGTCATTTGAATTTGCTTTCTTTGAATGTTGCGTTTTTCTAGCATTTTTTTGCGAAGTTGCATTTACTTTAAGATCTTTCACTGAATCGATTAATTTCTGTACATTTTCGGTGGTTGCAGGCTCGTCTATATTATCTACTTTATATAAATGTTCTGATATATCTGGTGCCAACAATTCAACTTTTTTGATTATATTCTTTATTGAAATATTTGAATTATGTTTCTTTGTATCGATTAAGTCTTGCAACAAAAAGCTGCTTTTGGATTGATTTGTTTCCTGTTCAGTTTGACTAACAGTTTCAGAATATTCTTCATTTAAGATTTTTCTTTTTATTAATTTACTATGCGACCTTGTTCTTCCATATCTGGATGGCGGTGAAGAAGTATCTTCATCGTCACTGAAGTTCATACTAACTTTGGTTAATTTTAAAAGAGGAGGAGTTCGATTACGTCGAAGAGTAACAGGTTTGTTCGCTCGAGTGTTGCTAACAGTTGGTGTTATACAAATATTACTTTCAGTATTCGATTTTTGCATGTATTTACTTATATCGATATCAAAAGGATCAGGAACTGTAAATTCTGTAAAAAGATTAAATACAATTTTGCCTTTCAAGATAGATAAGGTTTTACATAATGCTTAAATAAATACTTACTTGAATAATCAGAAGAACTAAACGTACTTTGAAAGCGATGATCAAGCATCAACTCATTAACCGTCATATAAATTGGATGTCCCTTTAGTTTGTTCGTGTCGCATATTCGAATCGCCAACGTAATGACATTCCTTATTTTCTCTTGTTTTGTATTAAAAAAACTTCTCAAGAAGTAAGAAAAATTTATTAACAATAGTACATAGTCTATAATATAAAAACGTTCTTGCCAAGGAAGATATTTGATAGGCATACATAATGGTATGTATTCTTTCCTTTTTATCAAGTTCTCTTTTATCTTAAATGCACCATGAAAGTGCTGTAACGAAGCTGCGATATTTTTTTGGAATGCATACAATTGCGCTCTGATGTGTGTGCTTGTAAACACCAAATAATGATACGATATATTTTGACAAAAATAACAGTTACAATCTTCATGGCACATAAATTCAGGTAAACTGAATATTTTGTTTTGGAGAATTGGCGAAGTATTATATTCAGGAAGATCTCTAATAGGATCTATAGTCCGGGTTGGTGTTTGTAAAATATTACCCGAATTCATTTTTGTAAAATTACTGTTCGTAGATACTTTAAATTTTTCGATACTTAGAATATGCTCTAATCCTTGAAGTTTTACTTCACAATCATTTAGTTGTACACGTGATAAATCGATATAACAGAGGGATTTTAAAATTTCAGCAACCCTTATAGTTGCTCCTAAAATTTGCGCACTTTTTAATCTGCGCACTAGATGAGCACTAATTTCTTGGAAAGATAATAAACTATTCATTCGCAGGGATAAATTAACGGTCGCAGATAATAGTATGTCGAATCCAAAAAGATACTTGTCTTGAGGTTTCCCTAAAAAAACACTGGATTATAATATTACAAGCTACAAAGCATTCGAAAATATTTTTTTATAAATAAAAATTTTACATTTTCTTGCAGAAAGTTCCTCATTCAAGTTAACCAGAGTATATAAAGTTTCAACAATATATCGAGTATACTCTTTGTGTTTGATATCTTCTTTGTACAAATAACAATTATACAAAATTCTATCAAGGCTATATAAATATACAGCTATATTTTTGAAGAAAGAAATTCCTGGTAGTTTCCTGGATTCATCAATTAATTTTCTAGCTTCATCATACTAAGAATAAAGTATATGAAATAGTTATAATGTTTTTCATTATTCGTAAATAATAAACTTACCATGTTGCATTCAAAGTAAAAATCTGATAAACTTATCCAAAAAATAGCGATTGCGTAAATTGTATCTTCATCATTACTATCTTTCAACTTAATGGCAAGCTTTTTGGCAGTAATAATCCATTCAAAATTAATATATCTTAAAGATATACAACGACCAATAACTAAAAAGAATATTGGTAATTTTTTATTAATGTTGTAATTAATGCTCCTGAATTTTAAATTGAAAGAAGAAAGTTCAACATTTATGTACCATAAATAATTGTAGAATTGTCTTGCAATTCGTATGCTAATGCATGTGCAAATTTCCATATATTAATTTCACATTCTTCATACCTGTAGAGATGAGCATATTCACCCGCTATAATTAATGTATGTAAGGTCATCAATGGTTCATATCCCTTTGCAATTTCTTTCTGTTAACATGCATACAATTAACAGTTAATATTAAATAAAAATACATTAAGCTGTGACTCAAACTTACAAGATTTTGCTTTAAACATTTTTCCCATTTTTTTAATGGCACCTGCAAATACATCATATGTCTAGAATCTTCCTTGATATTTATCATACTATAAGCTGGTACTACATCATGAGATTCATTTTCCTCAATTTCATTTACTTTTGGAGCGTACAATGCAAATTTCATGTTTTCAATTTCCATTTCAATTTTTTTGCCCACAGAACGCAATTGAGTGACAAAAATGTAAAATTCTAAATTGGCTTGTAAACATAAAATGTTGCAATCCATCCTAATTTGTTTCAGTTTTGAAACAGCTTGCTTAATACATTCCAGAATATCTTCATCATAATCAAAATTTAATGAATGATATACTAACATTTGAACCACGCGAGCGTATTGTACTGGATTTACTTTCAATGCTTCCAATTCGCTAAGAACTTTCTGGATAGCGACAGATAGATTAACTTTTGCTTCTTGTAAACTTTTTGCCTCTTTTAAATATATTTCAATAAGATCATATTTCGATAAATCAATAGATAATCCTAATTCTTCTATCTTTGATTTATCCTTTTTCAAACAAGCTAACATGGTCATTTCCGTAATTTTCTTGGAACTTACAGACTTATGTTTTATACTTGCCCACATACGAAATGCTTTCGAATTTGGATCATTGCAGTTCAATAAAGCATTTAATGCGGTTGCAGTCATTGCTTCTCTGTACATGTTATGATTATAATGAAGAGTACTTATTTTATATAATGTGAAACCAATAGGATTTTCAAGATTGATATGCTGTGACTTTGATTCAATTCCATCAAATTGTATGATAGAAGTAAATAATAGAGAAAATAGAGATACACTTTCTTCATAAAAGCAGTCAGATATTATGCCTAAGTTATAAATCAAGGCACTAGAGGTAGACCATAAATGTGTCCACCATTTGCATTTACATTTTTTCATTTCATAGATCAATGCTATATTTTGCTCCAAAAATCTTTTAGCAACTACACAAACATCTTTTGATAAATCGTTTTTAGAAAATTTGCTAATTAAATTGACACATCTAGTTTTTATAGCTACTGCATTATATATATCTTTTTTGACCATACAATTCTCGCTTTGACAAGATGTACACTTGTTTGATATCTGTTTAATAAAACATGTACTCAAATATCCAACTAGTTTCATTGTTTCCAATAATAAATCATTTTTTATGTATACTTTCTTCTCAGTTTTTATACATGTTTCCCAATATATAAACAATGGTTCTAAAATCTGAACAATACTGAATGTAGCCCATTTAACAGATCCTGTATATCTATATCTTTTTGTAAGATTTACATAGTTGTCAATCAACTTCTGAATCTTTTTAACAACATTTTCTGTTAAACATTCAACTGGTTTTACAAGTACAAGGCATATAGATTCAAATAGTAGAAAACACTGGTAACATTCTTCATCCTCGACTAAAATCTCCTTAAAGTAATTGCTTATAGTATTTAAAACTTTTGTTATTGACTTAAGATACTTTTCATTAATATTTTCACATATAATTCTACTTGTTATATGAAGCATATGACGACATATAATATACTTCTCTTCGATACTAAATAATATTCTTGTCTGAGTTAAATACTCAATGATAAATGTAGAAAAATCATTAAAAAATGCTCTTGATTCTCCATTAATTTTATTCAAATATGAACTAATATTTGAAAGTAATTGTTTTGTGTAATTTTTATGTACAATCTGTATTATTTCTGATTCATACTTTACAATATCTCTCAATTGTAAATTATTTTTGGAATTTGATGGATCTTTTTGCAAAATAAGAAACTCATTATTAACTGCATTATGCCATAAGTAAGATATTTTCACTAATATGTCACTTGCATTGTCATTAGAACAATCAGAACATAATGTTTCTATTTTCAAGTAAGAACATACATTATACGCTTCATCAAACATGTACATTGTTAACAAACAACGAATTATATGAAATAAACTTGAAACAAATTTATTGTTATCTAATATATTGGTTAAAATTGAACACAGTGCGCAAGTTAACTTATAAATCTCTTTTCCCATGGCATAGTCTTGTTTACTACATTTGTCTGCAGTATGTGAGAGATATAACAATAGCTTAAAAATATGTTTGTTAAATTCTTTGTTTTTACCAAATACGGTGGCCTGAAAAAAATGAAAGATAAAGTTCATTTCTAAAAAGTGAAAAGAAAGTCTAATACATTTCTGATTTAATGACTTTTCCCAATTTTTCATGGTAAAGGTCAATAAAGAAGTTTCCTTTGTTTTCATTTCAAGCGTTTTTATTCTAACACAGAGCTGAATGTTCTAGAGTCAATAGATATAAACAAACATTCAAAAGCTAACGACAAGAACAGCTATTTGGTGTTCTTCTAATAGTTTTTTGCTAAATATTCTGTGAAATGGTAGTAAGCAAAAATCATCACTGTGAATTTAAATTATCTTGTATTTCATTCTATTTCATCTGACAAATTATCACGGATATAACAAAATATTTTTAATACAATGTTTCTTTTAAAAGAAGTACAGAAGAGTTACGTAACTTCTTTTATTTTCCCTGATTGATTTTAAAAACAAAACGAAACTTCTCAAAAAATGAAAAAAAAAAAATCTGTAGCAAAGTAGCCAAAATTAGGAAAAGCTTTAAAGCTATAAAAAACTATAATAAAGGAATAAACTAAAGATTGATGAGAATACTTTCATCGAAAATCTTTCTAAATTTTAAATTTAATACAAAAATAAACACAGAGAGGAGAAAGAAATTTTATTAAAAACATTACAAACCTGAATATCTTCCGTTACACCAGTCAGTTTTTCTGTTTGAATCAATTCGATCCATTTTTTCATTTTTGCTTCCATGTTATTCATTTTTTCACGTTATTCGTTGATTAATATATGCTTTTTCAACGAATTGTGTACTCTTTAAGCCGGTCACGATCATCTCATATTTATGCGGCATAAATATGTCATAAAGTAGATACATATCAGTTCGTATAACCTATATTCAAATAGTCCGCCAAGATTTTTAATCGATTTTAATGGCAATTTCTTTGTTATTACCACAGATGACTTCGTTGCGTCGTTACTACTCGATTCGTTGAGCGAAGTAGTCTCATATCTATGTTCTCCTATATGTTTCACTTGTTCAATTGTAGGAGGCGTAAGGTTCCGTTTAACTTAACCTCAATCAAGTGAGCGACTGAATGCAAGTTGTGTAAGAGTTTACGCCAGTATTAGTTTTCACTTAAAAATGAATTCAAGAACCCAGACTAGAAGAATCCCAGAGGTGGAACCTCGGATAGATTACGTGCAATGCGATGGATTAGTAGTTATGAAAATGGTGAAGCATTGTCATGAAGAGTCGATGAGTAACATGGATGTTGCTCAAGGTGCTCTGCTTGGTTTGGTTGTTCAAAATCGTCTCGAGATAACCAATTGTTTCCCATTTCCCAAAAACGATGAAATCATGGACGAAGAAGAATACCAGCTTGCCATGATGCGTCGCCTTCGTTGGTAAGTAATATTTAATATTAAGAACGGAACAAAATAAATAAAATAAATGTGGAATAAATCTTATTTTTTCAGGGTAAATGTTGATCATTTTCACGTCGGATGGTATCAAAGTGCAGATGTTGGCAATTTTTTAAATGTATCTCTGTTAGAGTCGCAATATCACTATCAAACATCCATTGAGGAATCTGTGGTGCTCATATACGATACAGCCAAATCAGCCAGAGGTTTCTTAACCTTGAAAGCGTACAGGCTTACCCCCCAAGCTATACAAATGTACAAGGAAGGTGAATTTACACCTGAAGCTCTACGTACTTTGAAGATCGGTTATGAAAACTTATTCATTGAGATACCAGTTGTGATAAAGAACAGTAATTTAACTAATATAATGATGTCTGAACTAGAGGAAATGATTCCCGAAGAGGAAGGTACAAAGTACTTGGACCTTGGTACAGCTACAGTCTTGGAGAATCAATTACGTTGTTTGATGGATCGTGTGGATGAATTGAATCAAGAAGCTATGAAGTTTAATAGATATCAGCAATTGGTCGTTCGTCAGCAACAAGAGAAGAACAGGCTTTTAGCTAAGAGAGCTCAAGAAAATGCTGCCAGAGCTGCTAAAGATGAGCCTCCGCTACCAGATGATGATATTAACAAATTGATGAGACCTTTGCCTGTTCCACCTAGACTAAATCCGATGATTGTTGCTGGACAAATTAATACATATAGTGAACATATTTCTCAGTTCTGTGCACAAAGCTTAGCCAAGTTATACATTACTCAAAGTCTACAAAATGCCAAGGAATCAAAATCCTCTCATTAAAACAAACCCAACTGCTTAAAAAGCAATATTAAAGATTGAAAAATGACATTCAAAATAATAAAATTTTATAACATTGCGTTTAACCTTTGTTTTTTTTCTTTTTATCAGTTAAAGATTTTTTTCATTTTTATATAATTATTATATCAAGCATTATTTTCACTAGTTATTTATTAATCTTTAGACGCTTATATTTAAATATATTTAATAAACAGAATGTTTTTCCTTTTGATTATACATAAGTATGCAAAAGTGGGTCCATTTAGAAATTAAATTTAATATGTAAAAAATGAAGAAATTGATAATGGAAATTTAAGTTGAAGTACGAATTAAAACAACTGAATTTTTTTTTAAATTTCATTCTATAATTTGTATTTCTCTTTTTAATTTTTCATTCACAACTATGTAACTGATGCTTTGGTTCGTTTAAGTGTACACACCCAAGCAAAAATTTAATAAACGATATGAGTTAATTCATAGAGGCGGATCTAAAGTCAGTGACGTATCACGAATTCAGGTGCCCTGTGTTTCCATATTTCTAACCTCCAATCACAAAATAGTTTCTTTCATCTTTTTCTTATTTTCTTTTCTTTTTGGTTCGTTAAGTTACGTTTTATCAAATTGTTCATTCCTGTTATGTAGAATCTTCTTTCGGTTCTCGAAATGAATGTATCTCGTGCATAGGAAATACATCGTCGGAGTCATGAAAGCGTATTATGTTTCGCGAACGGTAGTGGTACAGTCGTTTAAATTTTCCATTTATGTGGCACAGAATCGCACACACATTAAAGCGCAAATACGTAAATGTCAGTCATACGGTTAAGCAGATCGGTATAGGTATGTGACCGGGTATAATCAAATAATTTTGAAATAAGGAGGCGAAAAGCTGTCGCACCAGTAATTACAATTGAAATTACTATTAGTACATGTACTTACAATGGAGGGCCACCAGGTGCGTAAACCTCTTAAAGAAAACAAAAGTGATTGATATATAATTGTTTGATATTAAATCAGCTCTATGCATTGTGACTCATTCTTTTGTCTGAATTTTTCAAAATGATTTTTCTCCGTTTCGTGCGTAGACATCCGACGTTTGTTTTTTCAGGTAAGAGCGTTATACGATTTCACAGGAGAACCAGGAACAGCAGAGTTGTCTATCACAGCAGGAGAAATGTTGATTGTTATGAGAGATAATGTAGGCGATGGATGGTGTGAAGGTTTTAATCAGAGTGGAAAATCTGGATTATTTCCAGCAGCATATGTTCAAAATGTCGACACTACTGCGCCAAGTATATTTATGTTGCTTCACTTTTTTTATTAGACATATTGATTCAAAAAATTGCTACATCTAAATTTTTTTATGCATTAGATGCAATGACATCGTCACAACAAAGTTCAGGAGATTACTGGGACGATGAATGGGACGATGATTCTGAAATTGGTCAAACACAAGCATATGTCCCTCAACAGCAGCAGCAACATATGATACAACTGCCACAGCATCATACTGTTGACTATGGGGATTCAGTTTCTATGCATACTATTCATTCTGTGATACCTGAAAGGCCTATACCCAATATACCAAAGAAAAACAATAAATTTTCTACATTAATAAAGTCAGGAGAAGATAGTTTTTTATTAGGAATGAGGGTGGCAAATGTTCCTGAAAATGAAAAAATATATATCGAAGAAATTGAAGGTGGACATTATAGATGGTCTTCAAGAGGAGAATCTTATAACTGTGTAGTTACTTCTCCTAAAAAAGAAAGCAAACTAAAGGGTCTTAAGAGCTTTATAGTTTATCAGCTTACGCCAACGGTATTTAATTTTTATATGTTATATTCTTGTAACAGTAAATCATAGAATTATCGTTGATTTCTTTCTTTTAGTTTAATAATATTCAAGTTTCAAGAAGATATAAACATTTTGATTGGCTGCACGAACGTTTGGAAGAAAAATATTGCTTCATTCCTATTCCACCATTACCAGATAAACAAATATCAGGGAGATATGAAGAACAATTTATTGAACATCGACGCACACAGCTACAAGAATTCGTTGATTATGTTTGTAGGCATCCTGTACTGACACGTAGTCGCGTTTGGGAACATTTTATAACTTGTACAGATGAAAAAAGATGGAAGGCTGGGAAGAGACAGGCTGAAAAAGATGACTTATTAGGTGTAAATTACTTTTATGCCGTCCAATGCCCTGAAACAAATTTGGACGTTATAAAAGTAGAGATTCAAACTGATGCTTTTAGTAGATTTATAAGTGGACTGGATCCAGTAGTTAAGAATTTTATGGCTATGGCTGTTGATCAAACAAAGAAAAGTCTTCTCTACAAGAGAGAATTTCAGAAAATTGGTCAAAGTTTTAGCGCGTTAAGCCACGCATTAGAAGGCGATGATAGAAGTCGAGGAAGATTAACTTATGCGTTAAAAATAACGGGAGACGCTTATAACGATATAGGCAAATTATACGAAGAACAGCCTAAATTTGATTGGGAACCTCTATCTGATAAATTTCATATTTATAGAGGAATTATTAGTAGTTTCCCAGATGTAATTAGCATACACAAGGTAACCGATGAAAAAAGTTTTATTCTTTTAAAGTATAGTCTTCTAAAGAAATTTTAATATTGCTAATTTGTACTGTTTTTTTTTTCTTTAACTTATTTAGACTGCTGTACAAAAACGAAAAGATTATGAAAGGCTAGTAAGTGAACACAAAATGGAGCCACAACAACTGCGAGATTTGTCTCATCGAACCGATGTAATAGCACGAGCTCTTCTCGCTGAAGAAACACATTTTCAGACGGAACAAGAGGTCCATTTAACTCAAGCAATGAAAACACATCTTGCGGAGCAAATCAAATTTTATCAAAAAATTGTAGATAAATTACGAGAAGCGTTAAATGCATACGAAGGCTAAAATATGTGTATTTAATGTAATGTAAGGTTGTCTCGTTTATCATATCTTTTGGTAAAGTATACAATATTCAAAATGATAATTTAGTTGAAAATGCATAAACTGTATGAGATTAAAAGAAACACTTTACATTGAATTATTAATAAGCGTTGATTACAGAAGAATTATGCAAATTACATAGAAGGGGCCAACAATTTATTTCCAGGTATCACTACCAAAAACCTAACATATATAGAAATTTGCAAGTATATTTTCTATGTATAGTATTTTTTCACACCTGTTTTCAGTTGTATAACTGGATGTGGTTAAGACAACCAATCAAAGAAATGATATTAAGCTCGGTTAAAATGAGAGTGAAATGCGACTTCGAGAAATAAAGAAGTTAATCAACTAAACAATATTATTAATGATGCATAGTAATATATTGAATGTCAATATTAATGTTAATCATCTGTGGCTGCTATTTTCGAAAATTTATAGAATCATTACACAATTTTGTTTTTCTTCGCGTATTTCTATTTCAACTTTTAATTTTTTTCTAAATACATTTATATATAATATATATTATTTGTACGTTTCATGGACCAAACCAAATTTTAAATTATATTGAAATCAACGTATACTAGATTCTAACGAAAGGTTACATTACATTTTATAATAAATGTAAAATCTATTATTTTTTATTATTCTTTTATAACTAATAAATATTAATATTATTTGTTAACATGTATTTGTGAATTATGTAATTATATATTATTGTATTATAAATGAATTTCACAGGCACACTGCCACGAATTAAAAGAATAATACAAAGATTCGTGTTATTATAGATAAAAATTAAGTAAAATATAAATAATTGTAGAAAAATTAATTCCTATAATGTAATGTAAACTTTTCTTTATCAAATTATTAAATGTATATATTTATTAAACTATTTTTGTTCTCAAAGTAATTAATTTTCTTAATTTTGTTTAAAGGAAAATACTGTTTTATATGATTCATGGATAATTAATTCAGAATTTCAGCGACTGTGTGTTGATAAATCATTAATATAAAATATAATAATCATGTAAATTTCCTACTCCATTTATATTACATGCGAAACTGTTACACATTTATTAGTTAACAAATTATAAATTAAGATATATAATTGTTAATGCATTTAAAATAATTTGTATAAAAAGATAATTTTAATTTTAAGCACAAACACACGCAATTTTGTAAATGTTATTATTGTAATGTTACTATTACTATCATTTGCATCAATCATGTGCTCGTTTTCATGTCCGAAAGAAAAAAAATTTCATTAAATATGCATTAAATTGAAGTGCGATTAGTTTACTTATTTTGCAGTTTATAAGCGTTCCGATATTTTTATTTTATTTTTAACAATTTTACAACTCAGGATGACTGTCGGAAAAGAAGTGATTGCATTCATGTGATACATAAAAAAAATTAAAATCGCAAAATATATACATATACCGTATGATAGTTCCAATGATAATGAAAAATTGTCGATAATTTAAACTGACATAAGTTTATAAGAAAAGATCATTTTGATGATAATCGTAAACACGTTTTTTTCGAAGATGATTTTACATCATGTAGCGAGTGGGAAAGCGAGGATACTTTTTCTCGAAAATTATAAAGATTCAATTGTATGTAAAGGCATTAAAGAATTCTTTTCATGACGAAATTCATTATGATCTTGAAATGTTCTCTTTACTTGATAAATCCTTAAAACTTGCTGTATGATTCTTTTCTATCGTTTTATTAGTTTTTGAATATTAGGATAGATTATCGTCTAACACTAATGTTCAAAGTTCAATGAAATGCTGGAAAAAATCGCCTATCAACATCCATTATCCCCTTTTTTCTATTACGTTGAAGATGAAATTTGGGAGGAGAGTGATGGGAGATATGTAGTGGATGATAGGTTATTTTTTTTCAGCTTTTCGTTCAACTTTGGGATTAAATGACAATATCTACTTTGATTATTCAATATTCAAAGATTAATAAAATGATAATAGCAGATTTTAAGGGTTCGTTGTAAAGAGAATATTTTAATCTTTAAGATCATAGTGAATTTCATCATGAAAAAAATTCTTTAATGTTTTTACATGCGACTGAATCTTTAGAATTTTCAAGAAAAAAGTATCCTCACTTTTCCCACTCCCCACGTGTAAAATTATTTTTGAAAAGAAATGTCAAAATATAGGCTTTAAAATGAGATAAAGTAAATCGTTAATATGATCTTTTCTTACAAAATTATAATTTAAATTGTCGACAATTTTTCATTGTCATTAGTATTAGTTATGCCAGTCATAGCATTTTATTCATCACATTTTATGGAATAGTATCGAACATTTGTTGTGTAGCACCAACAATTAAGTTAAAAAAGATTAATGTTTGAAAGGTTTGATCTATAATTCTCGTACTTACAAGCGAGCTTTTTATTTTTGAACAAAATAAATTACTGCCTCATGAAGCAATGCATTACTAAAAATTTAATCGTTAAAATACTGGCTATTAGAATAGAGTATGTAGTTTACAAAAATTTGATACTTTACGTATCTTGAAAAAACAGCGATTTCAACAGCCCCTCTTAAAATCGTGGAATACATTGGCACTGTAAATTATTTTAATATATACTGATTTACTAAAACTTTCTGCGTAGAGTTGGTAAATTTTTTCTAATAACATTGATCCTTCGTATCAAGTATAATTTTAACAATGAAACATCTGATAATAATCGTTTTCACATGCACAAATTGTAAGCATAACAATTGCAAGGCTTGTGCAATGAGAAAAGTTATACACTAGAAAGAAGTTATTCCTGTAATCAGTTAGTAAATGTAAGAGCGCAATTACGCTTAATTTAATAGGCAACTCTCTTCTTTCATTCTTTTTCTCTTTCATTCCATGCACACACTCTTATTAGTCAGGCTTTATTTTGTTCATCGAATAAGTACTGCAGTAACAAGTTGTTCTTTCCTATTTAAAATCAGCTTATTTTTATAATCACATTTTGCAATGTTCCTGCCGATATGTTTATTCATGTGGCACGGTTTTATCTTTTTTTCTTTGTTTCTGTTTGTTTTTACTTTGTTTCTAAATAAAGCTAAGCTCCTTTGTTTATATTCCCTTCTAAAATTTTCAAATTACAAGCTCATTGATAACACACAAATATTTAGCATAAAAAAATGCTTATTAACGAACCTTTCTTATTAGATGACACGATGTTGGCTCCAAAAAATTATATTAAACATAATTTAATTACATAATTTACATACAATGAATTTACATGAACTTTAGTACTTTTTTATTAGACGTTGTAATCCAAATAAATATATAGATTAGAACATAAAGGTAGATATCTATTTTCTAAGTAAAAATGATTTTAATCATTGAAAAGCATATATTTTTAAGTTAACCTTTCTGATATCCCATCATCGTGTTATCCAAGGCACTTTAGAATAGTACGTTATTTTGCGCAATGAAAGACCTGTTTGTCAATTGAAATTTTTCATGCTACAAGTTTCGACAAGAATAAATGATGATCATTGCATATATTTTAATTTCCATCGTATGCGTCATGTTCTAAATCAACTTATATGTATTCCGTTTTAATTATTAGAACAATGTCTATCTTATAATTAATATAATTATTATCGATTTCAAAATTATTATGTAGCATTAACATGAAATTCTTTTTCACATAGTTATTAAATTACACGAATAGTGCCCGGTACACGGACGGATATCTAATATGATAGTTTAAAGTGATTATCATGTTTATTGTTTAAAGATAAAGAGAAAGAGATAGTAATTCATGATAAAAGGAGTGCCCGCTCGATAAACAGCAATAATTTTTTCTATTCGAATGTGTAATATATGATTCCTTTAGATTTCATTAGATACAATTTAGATTTATTTCAAAAGGACATTGAAAAAACACTGAATCTTGTCGATACAATTTTCCGCATAATAACACGCAATATTTTTTTTCATTTATGTAACCTGTAAATTTAAATAAAACATTGAAATCGAATCATCATTGTGATAAATTGTTTGATACGTTTTCGATTGAAAGAAATTTCATATTCTATTTCAATGCAAATTCTCAATATTAATATTTTTATACGGATATGCTACTGAGTAAGAGACCATAGTAACATCATTATCACAAGATTACAATATGTACGGTAATTGTCTGCAATTATTTGTAAAAAAATAAAGTAATACCACCGAATACTAAAAGTATTTTCAAACATTTCGTTGAAGTATCTGTTGTAATTCAAATATTTAGTACTACATACGATTCGCTGATCCTTCACATAATAATAAGATACAAATATAAATAGCTAGATTATATTTCAATCAATTTTTTGGAACTCATGCAATGATGTATGATCGCTGTACTCTACGATAAAATTAAATATAAAAATATTTATATTGACTTGTTCGTAACAGATTGAAAGTTTTTATACATTTACATCAAGGAACATAACATATACATAAATAATATATACATTCTTTTACAACATATAATAAAATATATAAATCATTAGTTCTTAACTAATTAAATTCAGTTTTGCGCTTTCTACGTTTAAAATTTCATCCTATGTACTATTTAGAAAAAGAACAATAAGAATTAACAGAATCTTTTTAATAGAATAGAAATATAATAATAAAAAATTAGATCAGAAAAATTGCAAAGTGTATAAAAATATAATTGTCCATAAAAAACATTATAACAAAATTAAAAAATTGGACATTATATAATTTGCTTTTTATATTTGCATCTTGCAAAGAGATGATTGAGGAATCGTGTATGAATTATGTACATTTTCTATTAAACTTCAGTGGAATATATCGATAAAAATATCAGTAGAGCAATATACATTTGTGTATATACATATTAAATCTAGTTAGTAGATTTCTGTTCTGGAATTCTTAAAACGTACTAATATCACTATATAACAGAACAAGTATTTGTGTATACAATATCTTGTAATACAATGTACTGTACATGACTCGTATTATATTTTGCATTTATGTCGTAAAATAAGATATATGGTTTAATTATCGGAGAAACATAAAAACAAATATCGATAAAAATCAGATCTCATACAATCTCACAACACGATTCCATATGGCAAGAATTTCTTTATCTCCTCGTTCAAAGTGATCCGTAAACTTACTTTATTTTGTCTTTTATTTCATGTTTTTTGAAAAATCACTATTTCAAAAGATGTTATTTTATCGTATCATTCTTTCGAAAAACTGGATAAAAGGCTGCGTATCAATTTTTGTGAAATTTAAAACATATTTTACCAGAATATATTAAGATGTTCACATTGCAAAAAATCATCTAAACAACTACTATCCATTACACCAAACCTTATAAAAGATAAAAACTTGTCGTTGTACTGTTCACATTGTTTCTTTTTTCTTTTTGTTTATACATATAGTAGATTTGATCGAGCAAAACCTTCTTTGTGTCAAGGGATTTCACAATTTGCATTAGATTTGTCTAAATATATTAACTATGTCTTTACTTGATCAAATCAATGCTGTTAACGTGTTTAAAACCATTATTGACGGCTACAGGATTTAATTCTACTGTGAAATATGTACCAAACACAGTGAGATCTATTTAAATTGTTGAAACAAAGCCTGCAAAATTGAAAAAGGGCGATAAAACATTTAGAAAATCGCCTTATATCGTACGGGCTGTTTATATGAGTGTTTAAGTGTGTGTACGTGCGCGCACTTGCGAGCGTGTGTAATTTTGTAATATACACGATCAGTGGTAACCATGTCACAGGAGACCACAATAAAGCAAATTAGCTGGAATACAAGCTCTTACCATTATTCGGATAATAATTCGGTAAGAGAATAAACTCGGCCATCTGATAACTCTGATAATTTTCATTAGAAGAAACTTAGCAGCGTGACTCAGCTTTTCTTATACTTTCTTTGCTTTCTAAGATACGATACATTCGTTTGAAATAGAGTAGACAGAGCAGTGCGTGTGCTACCCCACAGCTTGAAGCGTTTGTTGCGTAAGTAGAATGGTGAGTTTGGAGTGATCGGAATAGGAATAGGATTCGAGGCCACCAAGCTTGACACCGGCAATGGTGACTCGCGTATTTCCTTCAATTGAGGTTGGTCTGAGGCTCCACTGATCTGGGTTGGTGACTGGGGTTGGATTGCGATTGATCGGGGTATGGCGTGAGGTTGCCGCTGGAGGGGTCTGTTGATCCTGGGCCCTGCTGCAACTGGCCGCTGGTGAGTGCCAGCCGTTGCATTTGACGTATGACCGTGGCTGCGTGGTAGGCTTGCTGCAACCATGAGAGAAGAGGAAGACTTTCCTACGGAGCCTGGCGAGCAAACACATACAATCAGCAACTTGATAATCATCTAATTATACTAACCTTCCACCTTGATTTGGCGAAATTTTTTTTAAGTTGTTCCGATACAGTACCATGGATATTTTTATTGCTAGCTGCATTGCCGGATATCCTGAAAAAAAATAAATTTGCACGATACTGCACGTACTTGCACGTACAAAATATATTTGATTAAACAAACATTTATTAGTATATGAAATATATATTCATAAAAAGATATGTTAAACAAAATACATACTGACTGATTTATATTGTATTAAAATAATATGTTAAAATATTTGTTTATAAGAATTACTGAAAATTTTAATATGAAAGCTACTATTATATACTTTGAAGCATTTATACACATGATTCAATAATTTTGTAGTAAATAGTATTAATTAATATATGAAATTAATGTAATTCTTCTACTTACTTAATCCATATCTAATTATTAAGAACATCCATATCTATCTTATTATTATTAATAAATTCAGTTCCTGTAATATCCTTATTATTTGAATTTTAAAACATGATTTTTCAAAAATTATAAATATCTAATCTAGAACACGTTTGAAACATGTATTGCAAACTGCGATTTTTTTTTT